CACTCGCTAAGTACTTTCAAGTCTTTGTGGGGAAATAATTGATTTTTTTGTGCTGTGGGCACAAGAAAATTATTATGATCTTTTGAATAATGCCAAAGAAAAGACCATGAATGATTTAAATTGGTATATGAAGAAGGCTTCACCGTGGACTGTGGCTTGACTGACATTTTGCTAATGCAATATCTAGATTAGCAGTTCTTAAGGAGGTAGCTAACACTAAACTGGTAAAACAGAGAAGGTTGCTACCAGCTCTGGGTGGTGGTGATGGGGGGGGCAGAGGGTAGTGGTGAGTGATGATTGCTATTCCATCTTATTTGTTATCCAGGGAGGACCAACAATTTCGGGATGTAAGGCATGACACGATTACATAATTGCCTGGCCCTCACCAGCGAGGGTATGTTTCAACTGATAAATTACACATTTGAAATGGGCAGATAGGAGAGGGCTGCACTGGGCTTGCTTGCGCGGCTGCAGTTCAGCTGGGCAGACCCACCTGCGGTGGGCAGATCCCTATGTCTGGAACATGAAAGTTGGTTAGCATCTTTTTCTGACATTCAACTCCAGGAAGAAATCAGGAGTAAGGGAGCTACTTTATTTATTCCTTAATCTTCCCATTAGGAACCACTGCTCTATCCCGCTGTGAGCATGGCTTGGATCTAGAAGAAGCTCTAACATCCTGCTTTAACCTGGGAGGATAACAAGGAAGGAAATCTAAACCCAGGCCAGGTTTCCTTTGTGTCTATGAAACCCTGCATCTGCGAACCCAAGCAAGACAACTGGTCTCTCCCCCACCCCACCCCTTCCCCCACAGCTCCCCACCCCCCAGCCAGCCACTCAGCTCCTGTGTGGCAGCCTGGACTCAAACCACAAGGAAATAAACACCTTAGAAGGATGGTCCACCAATCCCAAACAAAATTCCACCTTAAAATGCATCCACCTTCCAAATCTCATTCTTCAGAGGGGGGAGTGTTGTTAATTTAGTTGGTCATAACTAAATAGTTTCTAATCTGGAGCAGGAGGCTGCTGGGAATATTGGACAGTTTAAAGGTTAATCACCATCGCCTGGTTACACAAGTGAGGCAGAACTAATTCCTCCAAAGGCAAATGGCTTGCAGTTTTATCAGCAGTGCAGATTAGAAGTGTTAATATACAGAACAGAATGGACGCTTAAGGGCCGGTTTTCCCCTTATCGGCAAACTTTGCAACAGAACTCAGCTCCCACACAACCCCTGCTCTTCTATAATAAGGCCCCTTATTTTGCCTCTCGAGCAGAACTATCAAACAATCCTGTCCAAACCACTGCCACCAAAATCAGGGTATTACAGACCACGGCTAATTGGAAGATCACTATAATGAAGGAAAAGATAAAATACTTTGGCTGTTGGCCTAAAATGTGGATCAACACAACATAGGAAGCTATCTTGCTATGTCACATTCTGAGAGATTTACATAAACAATAAACTCAATCCAAATGCCCCCCCAATCCTGAAAATACATCTTTGTTTATAGTAAATGCCACCCAAAGCCAGACCAGAGGAGACTGTGAAGGTACTTTACACAGCCAATTTGATTAGGACAGCAGTTTTGCAACTGTGCAGGAGAGCAGGGACTGTGTCTATTTCTTCTCATGCAGCTGGAAAGCAGAAAATGGTTTTTAGTGTCTTCCACACTCCCTGTATCACAAATATCTAACTACCACTCAATATGCCAAAATGCCTGTGGCAGCCATACAAACTGACTCCTGGATTTCTACAAAGGCTGTGGGGGCCTCTCTATGGTAGCAAACAAAGCAGCATGTTCCCCCAACCGCCAGCCGCATCAAGGGAGCTGGTGGATATCCTTTGGAGACAGGGGGCAAGATGGCAGGTGCAGGTCTGACAGAGGGGTGCTTTTAGATAGCAAAATTAATGACAACCAGCTTGAGTGCTAGGTGTACAATTAAAATACTGGTTAAGACACCTGCATCCCAGTTTGGAGTGCCTGAGTTTGAATCCTGGCTCTGTTTACAGTTCTAGTTTCCAGCTAACACATATCTTGGGAGAGGTCTCTGCCAGCCATGTGGGAAACCTCAATTGAGTTCCCTTCTCTCAGCTTTGGCACAGCCCAACGAGGGTCACTGCAGGCATTTGGAGATAAACCTGTGGATGATTCCTTTGTGTGTGTGCGCGTGTGTGTGTGTCTGAGTCTGTGACCCCCAAACTGCTCTGGCAGGAATTGCAAGGCTTCTATAAGGGAATACTGCTATGACCCCACAGCATAGGAGAAGGTGTTCTAGGAGGGACACACCCAGAGCAGTGATGCCTTCTGAGACTGGATTTTGCTAGCTCTCCGATGGATGAGGCAGCCTGCATGAGCCCATCTCCCAAGCTTTGTCCAGCAGCTCTTCACTGGCAACCTACCCTTGGATCCCAGAGCACCTGTCTTGCCCAAGCCCTGGGGTAGTGGAAATGTTGGGGCCCCTACCTGGCTCTGTCACCCTTTCTTCCATTTCTGTGTTCTTTCACGTGTAAACTCCCACATGAAGGAGCCACATCTTTGGTCTGAATGTCCTACAGTACCTGAGAGCTTCTAATGAGCTATTTCCTCCAACAAATGAATGAGTTCAATATGTATTTACTGAATGCCACAGATGCTGGAAGGCTGCCCACAAGGTTTTGTGGGGGAAGGCTAAGAGTTACAGCCAAGAGGCCTGTACCACGGCATGGTAGGTAAAGCGGATGCCTAAAGTGCCATAATTCCATGTGGACACTGGTTGGAGTTCTGGTTGTTCTACTTCTGACCTAGCTGTTGTAGTCATTTGGGTAGTGAATCAGCAGGTAGTGTGCACTATCTCTTTCTCTCTCTCCTTCCATCCCTCTCTGCAACTATGCCATTCAAATAAATTTTCTCTTTTTAAAAAAAAAAAATGGTCACAGTCAAGAGCTCCTGAGTGCACTACAGGATAAATGGCCACACAGTAAGAAGGGAAATATGACATGCAGTGCAGCCAAATATAAACTGTTAAGCCAAGACATAAAGTGTCTCTGAATTCAGAGAAGGCCAGGGCCTACACTGTGGCCCAAATGATTAGGGCATCTCAATGGGGCCTGTAATTCTCCCATGCATTCAGTAATTTATTCACTTTATGGGATGTTTGCAGCATTCAGGATGCTGGGGACACAATGGTGAGTACTGACAGGCCTCTGCTATCCCTGAGTCCACAGCAAAGGGTAGTATAGATAACCATACATAAACAGGTGACCCTGACACTGCAGACCCTCAGCACCTACGGTCACACACATGAAGCTGTGGGAGTCAATGGTGGCCCAGGATCTGCAGCCCCTCCTGCTGAGAATGGGTGCTGGTGGAGCGTGACACTGCTGGAGAATGAGGGAGGGCTTTGCTGATAATGGGGCTGGCCAAGTGCAGGCTTAGCTAGAAAGGTGGACAGAAGGACAGAGCAGGCCCTGAGAAGAAAGTAAAGCCTAAGAAGAGGTTTTTAGTTGTTTAAAGATGGGTGATTTTGCAGCATGTTTGTATACTAATGAGGCACATTCAGAGGAGGAAGTAAATAGCAGGTAAGTAAGAGGCTAAGCCTCTGATGACATGGCAAGGCAGAATCTGTGTCCCCTGGAATGGACAGCAGCCAGCATAATCAGGTTTGTCCAAGAGGTGCCTATGTTTAGCACTGAAAGTCTCCCACTGCTGTCCTGATGCCCTTAGAAGGAGGCACATTGGGTGGTTGGTTACCCTCAGCGAGGGCGAGCCTTGGAGACAGGGTGTGCAGGGGCGGGGGAGGCAGAGCAGAGGATGCCAGTGCGCGTGGGTTCCATGATCAGTGACAGGATGAAAAGGTGGCTCCCTTGTGATGCTTCTATTTTTCCAGTGAACTAAAGTGTATCATAGTCTGGGAGAGGAACAAGAAAGGAGAGCTTTGACAGTTTGAGGAGAGCAGGGGTGGTAAAAAGTCCTTGCCTGGAGCAGTAAGAGAAAAGAACCTGTGGGAATAGAAATGGGTCAGAACTTCTGGACAGAGCTGTGTGACCACTTGAAATGTGGGTGAGGACTGCCAGTGACACTGGGTGCTTCCCTCTGCCAGCTTCAAAGGACCCCTTATAAGGGAAATGCATCCACCTGGGAGTGGAGACTCAGGCCTTGCAGTAAGGGGCTTGCAGAAGTGCACAGATAGGTCATGCAGAAGCAGAGCTAGCAGACTTGTTTCCTAATTCAGTGCCCTCAGTCGACCAGGAACCCAGGAGAGTTGATAGGTAAACAGGGCTGGCAGGTGGCAGGAAAGGGGTCTGGGATGCAAACATGGACCACAGGCAGGGTTGCTCAGTGGTTTGCCCAGACACCTACCCTGATGAGCCCACAAGAGCACTGGACATGCAGTGACACCACCTCACCCATCAAGCAGGCCAGAGACAGGGAAATGGTGACTGCCTAAGCATCAACTTTCCTGAAACCCTTTCTGTGAACCTTCCGGTGCAGGCCTGGCAATGCTGTATGTCTCTTCTTGGAGGAAAAAGCTCAGAGATCCCTACAGGCATCCAAGCATTTTATACATTACCACAGGGGAGCCACATAACCACCTAGAGGAAGGACACGGTAACTGGCTGACCCTGCTGGGCATCATGAGGGGGCTGCTGGAAGCACAGGGGCAGGAATAATCAGGATTGCCCAGGTGTGTTGAGGTCACTGAAAATCCCTCAACCTGGGAGAGGTGGGTCATGGTCAAGATCCCAAAAGGATACTGCTGTGTGAGTCACTGGTGGATTTATAGGCATCAATTTCAGTTGTGTCCAACCCGAGGCTGCTAAAGAGGCTGGTGAGATTGTTACTAATGGGCATGATGAAGTTATTTTAACATTTGATAAGTCAGATCGACCACTATCAGCAGGGTAAACATCAGGCAGCTTCCCTTTCGGCCACATAAAATTTCTTGGTGGTCAGAAAGCTGACTGGCATCTCTGTGTCTCCAGTCACAATGGGTAAGTAGTTAGTCACAATGCCATTATTTTGGGAGTAGATGGCATCTTTTCAGATACAGGGGCTGAGACATAATAAAAGGAGGAAGATGAAACGTTAGGAAAGCACCATCTGTAAATATGGCTTTTTGTATACACTATTGATTTGAGCTAACATTAGAACTAGCAGTACTAACTTGATAGAATTGTAATACACTATCTCTCAGCAGTTTTATGTAAGTAAGTATGACTATATAGTATCTATTTCCAAGTCCAGCTGGGACACTTCCCTGAGCCTTCCCAGCTTAGCCAGACCAGGGGAAGCTTGAAACTGGGCTTAGCGTGTTACAAGTAGACATGGAGGTGGCTCCATAAAAAGCTAACAATAGGGCCTGGTGGCTGGGGCCTAGCAGCTAAAGTCCTCGCCTTTAATGCACCGGCATCCCATATGGGCGCCAGTTCTAATCCCGGCAGCTCCACTTACCATCCAGCTCCCTGCTTGTGGCCTGGGAAAGCAGTCGAGGATGGCCCAAGGCTTTGGGACCCTGCACCTGTGTGGGATACCCGGAAGAAGTTCCTGGATCCTGGCTTCGGATCGGCATAGCATCAGCCGTTGTGCTCACTTGGGGAGTGAATCATCGGATGGAAGATCTTCCTCTCTGTCTCTCCTCCTCTCTGTATATCTGACTTTCCAATAAATAAATAAATCTTAAATTAAAAAAAAAAAAGCTAACAATGACCCATGCTCACCTGTCCACAATGACAGGATCCCTTCCCACAAGCTTGGCTTCCAATAGAACCAACTCATTGTGGTGTCAACTTGGTTAAAACATCAGATAAAACCCCAATGGCCTCCAGCAGAGACTCCTGTCACTTTGCTGTCTCTTGGTCTGATGGCTCTTCTATCAACTATTTACTGAACAACTACCAGCAACCAGACACTGCACTAGGTGCTATGGCTACAAGAGCTACTATTGGATAAGCACCCTCCTCCCCAATAAGTGCTTCCATTGCTCCGGAACAGATGTAAAGAAGGATGCCCCTCCAATTTGGGACGGGTTCTAAGGGTGGTGTAGAAAAGAGCTAGTATGGGAGGAGCTATATCTCTCTAGGTGTTCAGCAACAAAGTGAGTTCAGAAGTCAAGCCCAGAGAACCAGAGAACATTCACTTGGTGTTTGAGCATGTACGGATAGCGCAAACTATATAAGGAACATGGAGGTGGAGGCCAGAGATCAAGCTCAGAAGAGCAAAAATGATGTATAGCAAGGCCCAGATGCATGGGTGAACATGGAAAATGTACAGGAGTTCTCACCATTTCATCAGGCTGTGCAGTAGTGGCTTACTGAGAAAATGACGTGAATTAGAGAAACATTGCTCAGGCATGAGTTCTAGTGCTGATGGATGATTGTCATGAATCAATCATCCATATTAAATAAGGTGTACCTAAATAGAAGCACACACAAAACAAGGTTATGAGTGTACTGCTCAATGTAAACATGACTAGAGGCTCCTAGGAACCTAACCCTGTACTTCCCTGGCAACAATGGGACATAACTGCTACAAAAGATGAGAGCCAACTGTAAACAGGGTAAGATATTTGTGGACACCTCTCTTCCTCTTTCTCTGTAACTGCCTGCCTGCCTGCCCTCCTTCCTTCCTTCCTTGTTTCCTTCCTTCCTCCTTCCCTCCCTTTCTTCCTTTCTTCTTCCTTGGAACTCTGATTTTCAAATAAATAAATATTAAAAACTCCGCATTGTAGTATAGCAGGTAAAGAAGTTGGCATTCCATATGTACACTAGTTCATGTGCTGGCTGCTTCATTTAAGATCCAGTCCCCTGATACTGGCCCAAGAAAGCAGAACATAGCCTTTGTGCTTGAGCCCTGCACTCATGCAGGAGCACTGGAAGAAGTTCCAGGCCCCCGGAGTCATACTGGCCCAGTTCCAGCCATTGTAGCCATCTGGGGAGTGAGCCAGCCAATGGAAGGGCTCTGTCTCCTTCTGTCTCTGTAATTCTGACATTCAAATACAATAAACATATCTTCTAAATAAATAAATACTCAGATTCTGTGGGACCTTTTGAGATACAAAAATGTTCTTTATTTTTAGATGGTCCTTTTCTTATAAGAATCTTTAAAAGACAAGGTCCCACATCTTGGTCCCTGTCCTAGTTATTAGATTCACTGGAGGAAGGCCTATCAGTCTTTCCAGACCTAGATGCCTAGGGGGCCTGGGCCCCTCACCTTGCAAGCAGCAGAATTCCATATGGGTGCCAATTCGTGTCCTGCCTGATCCACTTTTCCCATCGAGTTCCCTGCTTGTGGCCTGGGAAAGCAGTAAGATGATGACCCAAAGCCTTGGAACCCTGCAACTGCATGGGAGACTCAAAAGAAGCGCCTGGCTCCTGGTTTTGGATCGCCTCAGTTTTGGCCATTGTAGTCACTTAGGCAGTGGACCAGTGGATGGTCCACTCTCTGTCTCTGCTTCTCTGTAAATTTGCCTTTCCAATAAAAATAAATAAATCTTGAAAAAAAAGACCAAACCTAGATGCCTGCTGTACTTGGCCAGTTCCTCTTTCCCTTCTTGCCCTTTCTTGTCTCTTGACCTGGGGACCTTGAGCTCCTGATGCCAACTGCTCCTCTTCTACTTGTCACCTGCCCTAATGCTATTTATCCCTGCAACTAGCCCTGGCCCTCAAGTTCCACTCTAGAAAGCACAGTCAATGGCAGAGTCCAACCCTCTCAAACTGTCCTCTTCTGCCCCAATGGCTAGGATCGCCACAGTGTGAGTCAGAGCTCAGTGGTCATAAGAGACAGCAGCTTAAAGCAAAGGGATGGAAGCTTTTCATGGAAATAGAAATAAAGACCCTTTTCTCTGGAACTGGTAATGCTGAAGCCACAGGAAGTCAGAAGAGATTTCCTTGCCACAGCCCTGCCCTCCCAGGGCTTCTTCTTGGTCTCACTACTTTCCTCGTTCCCTCTCTATCCTCCTTCTCCCTTCTTTTCCCACCCTTAGCATTTCTTTTTTCTCTGCCTTGTTCTCTTTGCAGGTCATTTTGTTTGGCTTCTTCTGACCACCCTCTCCCCACCAATGCTAACTTCTGTGTCACTTGGGTTTGCCCTGGCATTCATGCCAACTCCCATTTTATAGCACCTTAATCTTAAGTACTCATTAACAAACACCCTAAGTTTATCTTTGCAAGAAAGAATCTGATTGGCTGAGCTTAGTGGCTTATGTAAGCTCCCCTTAGGCCAGGTGCCCTGGTTCCCCTAGTCAGCTAAAGCTGGAGGGGAGGGAAGAATTGCCCAGGTCACAGCATCTAAACCTGCTCCTACAGAGGATAGTGGACTCCTATTGCCAGGAAAGGGGATGCACCTACTGTGCTGCCTTGTTTTTTTCTCAAGCAAATCCACTTCAGGTTGGTCTTGCCTGGCACACCACTGTTACATGCTGGGGATACAGAAAGCAGGGATTTTGGAAAAAGGCATTGAGCAGGTTCCACCTGGACCCAAAGCTTACACCATGTCCTCCAGCCCTGTTTTGGGGTTCTCTGGTATTTGTGACAGCCCTGCTTCAGAGGTCTCTGGTATTGGTCCAGAAAACCTTAACACCACACTTTGTTTCATAATTGGCAGTTATAGCTATTACAGCTGTTGATAGATTGAATAATCTATCAGAACCTTACAGAGGGCAGAGGCCTTGACTCAAGCAAGACTAGGGAGAACCCAGGATCTAATGGCCCTAGCAACGTGCAAGGGACTTACAGATTTGCTTCTCTCACTACTTTGGCTTGCATGTTCTCTAAATGATCTTAAGTGAAAAGGTATGATGCCTCTGGGACTTCTGTCTTGGATCTTCCTTGGTGGAGAGATGAAAGTGTTAAGAGGCAATGGGACAGAAATGTTTTGTTCTTATATGCAAAACATTTTCTTTTAATGCTTGTCAGTGTCATCTTGAGATTTTTCTCTACTGTAACATCAGAAGAACTGAGGTTATGTAATTTATCCTCTTCTTCCACCTGCTATTCTCACATTACCCGGGCAGCAGGACAGGAAGCTTGGGTTTTTCCCAAGGCATTGAAACAAGTGAGTTCAGGGCCTGCCCGTGGATTTTTTTCTTTCCTAGGGGGAAGAGGAGGAAGGCTGTGGGAATCTGAGGGTTTTGTAGACTTGGAGAGGACCCTCCCTGGAGATTGTAAGAGACTGTATTTCCCTGGGGGCTTTCAGATAGAACCACCCCCGCATTGCTGTGTTCCCTCATGAGAAATGACTAGTCGGCCCCATCACTGCTGACCCTTACCTGTTGGTACAGCCCACCTTGCCCCTGAAAAACTTCACACAAATACATCTGTGATCATCCAACAGAACAGGGGAAAGGAATCAGGCAGGAAGCAGTCACTTGAAACCTCTCCCTGCAGAGCTACATTTTGATATCTATCCTTTCAAGCTGTTTTCATGTTTATCTGTGTAATTGTGGTTTATCCAAAAAAAGAATCATATTATGCATTGCTCTTTTGAGACCTGTCACTTAAGTTCTAACAATAGATTGTGAATATATGTCCATGTTGAAATACAGGGGTCTGCAGCATTAGTCTGGATGGTTGAACATTACTCAGAGACACACTCACTCATTTACTAATCAATCCCATCAGTGGCTACTGAGGATTTTCCAGTGTTGTGGTGCTGTTATAAGCAATAGTACAATTAGTATCCTCCTACACTTACCTTTGAACTGTATTTATTTCCTGTGAATACATTCCTAGAAGTGCCGTTATTGGGACAGAGCATGCATACAAGTTTAAAACTTTTATTGTATTTTTCTAAATGAATTCCTACCAGACCCTATCAATTCACACTTATGCAGTAGTGTCAGAGGTACGTTTCCCCATCTGTGAGGCACCGTTTGGCTTATCTCTGTCTTCATGTGGCAGTGTTTGGAGAATCACATATATGAGAGAAAGTAGGCAATGGAATTGTCCATTCCTAGCAAGTCAAGGCTCTCCTCTGAGCCCAAGTCTCCTTTGGGAAATAACTGGATGGGCCCAATAACAGGTGAGTGCTCTAGCAACTTGGTCCATGCCCATGGGAGTGCCCAGATGTGGCCTGACTCTATTCCAAACAATAAGGCTCCCCAAAATTATCAAAGCCATTGCTCCCATGCCTTTCCCAGGTTGCACTGCTGCCTCTATTCCTGAAACCTCTGGTCATGGCCCCATTGCCCTCAGGGGTAAGTTAAGGTTGGCCTGCTTCTAGTAGGAAGCTTTCAAAAAGCCAGAATGACCCAGAGATCATAGCAGCTTTGAATGTTTATAAACATGCTCGTGACTGCCTCCTTGAGTCCCAGCTTCCTACAGCAGGCTTACTCCAAGTTTGGCTGCTTCCGTGTCAGTAAGTTTAGAAAAAAATCTGCAAAATATCCCAGCAAGCCACAGAGCTAATCAGGGACCACAGAACGTGGAGGAAATGGAACAGGGTACAAAAGCAAAGGGCTCCCACTGTTCCATTGATCTATTTCTCCCTTTATGCTGCTCTTTCTTATCTGGTGCCACAAGAAAACAGCATCTCTAGTTTGTGAGAAGGAGAGCTTTCCCGCCAATCTGCATATTATTTCTGCCCAGACGTGAGCCTCCACACAGAAGGCAGTTGATTTCTGGGGAACAGATTTCAATCAGTCTCCTTGCAGCCTTCTGTGGCTCTCCATCCACTCCTGCTCAGTTCCTAAGTCAGGCACTTGCCTGAGCCGATTAGTCTTGGATGTAACGTGTGATTTTGCTCTTTGTGTACTACTGACTACTCACTTGACAATAAGGTACTGCTGTACCTTGCACCAGGAGATTTGAAGGGGCCAATCTGGAGGGAAGACTCCTCTGCAGCCAGGGCTTTTGCCTCAGTGTTAGAATTGCAGAGGTAAAGCAACAGACAGGTAAGTGACAGGGGTCCAGTTTCAGCAGGGGAGGAAGTGACTCTTTCCAGTCCTTTTTCATTAGACAGAAGTTTCTCCCAGCCACTTCTTAGCTGGAACCCTTGGAGTACTGGATCTCCTGTCAGCAGAGTAATGGAATGTCCGTTCCAGGGAAGCAGCTGCCTCATCCTCAGAAACAGGCAACAGCACTTGACCTGAGACAGGTCTGGGAACTGGTCCAGAGCACTGGCTGGCTGTCAGTGAACCTTTGAAGAGATTTGGTCAGCTCCAGAGCTGGAGAGACAGTTCCTATTCACTTATATTATTTCATATCCCCATCTCCCTTGCTCCTTCTCTATCTCTTTCTCATGGTTGTTCAGAGACGTGAGTACAAAGAACTTGAGTTCTAGCCACATGATCTCAGACAAGTCACTTAGTATCTTTGGGTTCAGCTTCATTATCTGTAAAGTAATAATGCAAAGACAATGTTTGCTAACCCAGAACAGGAAGGTCTGGAATCCTGGAAATGGACCCCACAATTGTTTCCATTTTACAGGTAGGGAAACTGAGGTACAAAGAGTCAGTTTGTCTAGGTTTTCATTTAGGTCTTTCTGCTGATTAGCCGTAGAACTCATCCCCTGACTCTGGCACTAGCACGGTTCTTCTCACAGTGTGGGATGTGGGTAGAGTAAAACCAGTGCCATCTCTGCACATCCGGGAGGTGCCACAAGGTTCCGTCTATGTTGTCACTCTGGGCTTCATGGACTTGGCCCCTGAACAATGGCGCAGAGGCTCTTGCTCCTTAGCTAGGTGCTCATCCCTGAAGGAGATGCTCCAGGGGACCTTGCCGAGGAATCAGCTCTCCATGCTTCCCATCACACATGTCCCATTCATACCCATCACCCCACACTCCCCACTGCTGCAGAGCCCTCTTTCCAGTGAGCCAGCCCAGCCTGTCACAGGTCCCTCTCTCAGCTGTAGATGGCAGAAAGTCCATACTCTTTGCTCAGGAATTCACTCCAAACTTAGAATTCAAAGAACATAAGGTTATATCACCACATCAACCATGGTTATACTTACATTTCCTCAGAAAAGCAAAATTGAACTCTCTTCCTGATAAACACAGTTAGAAAAACTGAAGCAGAAAAACCAAATCCCAAGAACCTGAATTTACCAAAAAAGTATGCTAGAAACTGATGATAAATAAACAAAAGAGGGATTGGCATTGTGGCACAGCCAGTTAAGCAGCCACCTGTAACATCTGTGACACCATTGGCATCCCAAAGGAGCACTGGTTTCAGTCTTGGCTGCACAACTTTCTGATGCAGTTCCCTGCTAATGCCGCTGAGAAAAAGAGTAGAAGATGATCCAAGTTCTCAGGCCCCTGTACCCATATTGGATCCCCTAGTGGAGTTCCAGGCTCCTAGCTTTGTTCTGGCCCAAGCCTGGCCAATGCTGCAATTGGAAATGAATCTGGATGGAAGATCCCTGTCTTCCCCTCTCTCTAACTCTGCCCTTTAAATAAACAAATAAGATCTCTAAAGCATATTATCAAAAATATTCTTTGGTGAGAGCAGGTGTTAAAGCACGGCACGTTAAGCTACAGCTTGAAACATGCACATCCCATGTCAGAGTGCCTGGTTTGAGTTCGGGCTACTTTGTGCTTCTGATCTAGTTTCCTGCTAGTTTCCTGAGAAGCAGTAGATACTTGTGCTTGGGTTCCTGCCCCAACTCCTGGCTTTGGCTTTGTCCAGCCCTGTCTGCTATGGACCTTTGGGAAATGAATCAACTGATTAAAGATTCTCTCTCTGTGCATATCTGTCTGTCTGTCTCTCTCTCTCAGCTTCAATAAATAAACTTTGAAATAAAAAGGTTCTTCTTACTTGCCAAAAGGCTCTTTTGCACTCTTTGTTGACACATTTTAAGGGCTGCTTTATTCCCTTCAAGCCCTATTATACAGTACTGGACACCATCTTATTCCACAGTCTCTAAAACTGAGAAGAACCTTCTTGAGGCCCATGTTTAGCACAGTTTTCCGGGGCCTATCCAAGACTCTGGAACTGGAATCTCTGAGGGTGAGCACCAGGAATCTTTGTAAAGAACTTATTCCACTGGGCTGGGCACTGGGCCATCTTTGTTCCCTTTCCAGGTGATTCCCAAAGTCAAGCTCCCTTGCAAACAGGTTGAAAAGAAGAAGGCTCAGCTGCTACCTGCAGCTCAATAGCCAGAAGGGGCTCATTGCTTATATATGGAGTCTGTCGGGGGACAGGACTTCATTACCAAAATTTTCATTATATGCTAGAATACAGCAACTCATGCCTACTGACCCCTTGATAACCTCTCCGCTCCCATGTGTGCTGCTAGCACCACATGCTGATTACATCAGAAAAGAAAATCAGAACACTCCCATGGGCTATACCAAGGACACATGGATCCCTGAACCAGCAGCGAGGAGTCCAATCTCAGGCTCGGGTCTCTGGTCCTTAGAGGTCTCCTGATCCAGGTTTTCCTGGCAGGGTGGGTCTGGGGAGCTCTCAGTCAAGAAGGTGCCAACTGGCCTCTATCAATCCACAACAGCCTAGAGTTCTTGCTGTGGAGACACGCTAGACCTGTGCAGGAATTGTGAGCCCCTTTCCCAGCCCCTCACCTTCATGATTATTCCAACCCAGAGATCCCAGCTTATCCAGCCCTTTCCAGGACAGCCCTGTGGGTTCTACAACACATTCTGAACTTCTCTTGGGTCCTCCTTAGACAGCCCTTGCCTTTCCTTCACTCATCTCCCCAGAACCTGATATAGCCAAGCCCAGGATCCTCTAACCATTGGGGGATGAGGAATAAAGCTTCTCTCATAACCAAGGAGGCTGTATGGCTATCCTCCCTTGAGCTGTCAGCTCCTTTGGGCCAGAGATGTGGCCTGGCTGCTGTAGACATCTGGAGAGTGAGCCAACATTTGGAAGATCTATCCATGTCTATCTCTGTCTCTCTGTTTTTTAAATGAATAAAAAACATTTTAAAATAAAGGAAGACTTGATGGTACCTTGAAACTGAAAAGTACATTCCATAAGAATGGAAGTGGAAATAGCATGATGACTTGCTGTCTTCCTACATACCCAATTTCCATGTCTTTTATTCCTGGTGCTTGTGCTCATCATGAATTTTGAGATCACACTCAGCTCCAGATAATTCATAAAATATGGCTTGGGTCCACCTGTGCAGTGGGTGCTGGATCCATGAGCCCCAGGGGTGGGGGACACACAGAGGGGCTTGGGTCTCCTGGTCCAGGTTACAGAGCCTGCCTGTGTGGTGGGGACTGGGTCCATGAGCCCCAGGGGTGGGGGGTCTGGCAGGTCCCGGGTTCCATGGTCTGGGTCCTTGGGCCTACCAACATGGTCTTTTGGCCCAGGTCCTAAGGCCCACCTATGTAGTGGGTGTCAGGTCCATGAGGCCTAGGGGTGGGGCATCCAATGAGTTCTGGGTTGCATGGCCCAGGGCCATTGGCCCACCCACAAGGTAGTTGCTGGATTTGTGAGCACCAGGGGTGGGGGGGTCTGGCATGGTCCAGGTCACCTGACTTAGGTCCATGAGCCCACCTAGGAGAACTGGTTTTCCACAGTGTAGAAGATGGAGTGTTGGACAGCAGACCATGGTGCACATGGAGGACATGGTAGCTCATTGGGGCCTGCAGAGGACATCTGGTACCATGGTAGAGAATGAAAGACAGAACACATGGACCTCAGCCAAATGATGACAGCAAATATCTGGGTGACTAGAGACTATAAGGTCAATGCTGTCAGCCAATGGACATGGGAAGGGATTCATCAACCACAGATTAGTGAGATCAACAGCATTTCGAAACTATCACATCCACCTGGGCAGAACCTTCAGGACACATGCCATTGTGTCCCTGGGTTGATATCTGGTGGCCTTTCCCCATCCTTGGGTACTGGGATGGTAGGGAGGCTGAGTATGGCCTTATCTTGCTCCTCCCCTCCTCCCCCAAAATGGGAAGAAGAAATAGACAGCTTGGAAACAATGATAACACCCACTTTTCCCTAACCCCAGATCCTTCCCACCCTGATTGACTATGTAAACATCATCTAAAATTTTAAAAACAAAAAAGTGGCTCTCAGCAGCCCTCAGAATTGGCATGCCAATGAAGACAAACAGCTGTGTGTAAAAGGGAGCAGAGTCAGGGTGTCTGAACTGCCTCTCAGCAATGACCAGCAGGCCTTTTTCTGTTGTTTGTAGAGACCCATGAATGGCCTCATGGCTCGGAAATTACTTGCCTCTTCCCATACAACCAGGTCACTCCAGCAACTAGTCAGCCCTTCCTTCTCAGATCAGAGACCCTTTTCATAACGAGTTGAGAAAAGATACTAGTGGTGTAGATGAAATCCCTATCTCATCCTGCCTTGTACACAATCCTAAAGTGAGGAAAGAGCAAAGAAGAGACACACACCCCAGAAGGCAGCTGCTGCTACTGTCTTACCCAACCTCTGCTCTATGACACCCACCCCAGAATGCCCAGACTAAAGCAAAATGCCTGCAAGCT